ACTCTGAGGCTTTCTCCCAAACAGTCTTTACTTACCTTCTCCCAAGCACTGTGTGTTCCCCGCTCTGAGACCGAGTCTTACTCACCAGACTCACCTCCCCACTGGGAACTCCGTCTTTCCTTGCTTCTCTTTTCCCTCAGAGGGGCCCTTTCCCGTCACCTTCACCCTTGGGAGGGGGCAGCTCCATTACTGTCAAGGCCAGTCTCCCTGTGGATGCTCCGAGCGGCTTTCAGGGATCTCATCGCCTCACTGAACGCCTTTCCTCCACTGCCTTCAACTCTCCAGATTAAACTTCCAACTGCAGCCTCCTGTCCTCTCATCTGAAAAAGCAAAAAGATTTTTCCTCTATCTCCCACCTTTGCTTTTCCCTTGCCTTTGTAACTTTCCTTCTATGAAAGAGCATTTACCCGTGAAGGCTCTTCCTTGCTGTGTGCCCTCTTCACCACACTGGAATCAAGCTGTTTCTCACAGCCCCTGATTGTGATTGCCTCTCTTCAGCATTCCTGTTGCCAGTTTCAGCCTTATTTACTTGATTACCAAGTGTTTGAGGTTACCAGTGAATGCACTCTGTGAAACTGTTACGATCTGTGATACCACTTTCTCTTGATTTAAAGTCTGTGGGCCTCTCCTATTTCTCCTTTAAAGGACCCTTTTCTGCTTAGCTTGTAATTGTTGATATTCACCAGGATTCTATCTTTAGCCTTCCCTACAGTATATAAACATGCTCATAGTTTTATCGTCTTCAAAAAAATTTTCTTTTGCCTCTTTATTTTACTGCCTTACCTGTCAACATTTCTTTGCAGTATTCTTACTTCCTTTTCTAAACTTTAAAGACACAGAGCAAGATTACAGATACCCCTTCCTGGAATGCATTCCCCAAACTTTATATACCAGTTTTTCAGCCTTCCTGGGTTACTGAGACAGCATTAGTTTATCTTCCTCTGCTTATTCACTTTTCTATTAAAGCACTTGATTACAAGTGCTTTATCAATTGTATATAAAGTTGTGCATAATTGTATATAAATTTAAATTGAGGAATACATAAATTTCTACCACATCATACAGACAGTGATTTCCCTGAGGGCAGGAAAAGTTTTGAAAATCTTGTTTTTAATGGAAGAGCGATCTCCTTCATGCCTTACACACAGTATGCAGTAGATGCTGGTTGGGGATTTTTGCTGGCTGTGTCATCGTGGTGTTGGCCATGGGGAGAAGCCCAGTGCACCTGTGGTGGTGCAGGCAGGAGGCCTGAGAGTAAACACTTGTGTGGAGAACAGCAGCGGGAAGCAGCGGGCAACTGTGGTTACTCTGTCAGGAGGAGACACAGTGATACTGCTGCCAGACAGTTAGTTCTCGTGGCTTTAGAGATAATGGAAGGAGGAAAATGTGGGTAGTTACAGATGACACAGACTAAATGAGCACTGTTGATACAGGATGTTAATCAGAATGCTCTCAGCTACAGGTAACAGAAAACCTATAAACGACTTAAACAATAAAGATACACTTATAATATTTTAGGCTTCCCTGGTGGCTCAGAGAGTAAAGAATATGCCTGCAATGCAGGAGACCTGGGTTCGATTCCTGGGTTGGGACGATCCCCTGGAGAAGAAAATGGCAACCCACTCCAGTCTTCTTGCCTGGAAAATCCCATGAATAGAGGAGCCTGGCGGGCTACAGTCCATGGGGTTGCAAAGAGTCAGCTACGACTGAGCAGCTAACACTAACACACTATGATATTAGTACATTTATTAATTACATTTATTAGTACATTTATTAATATGTGATATTAGTACATTTATTAATATATGATATTAGTACATTTCTAAGTTCCAGGTAACTTCATAGTATCAATGGCCTATACTTTTTTTTTCTTTTTTTTTTTTTATCTTTTCTGGCTCTGCCATCCTTATTTTTATGTCATCTTAAACTGGCTCCCCCCATGACTCAAGATAGCTGACACCACTTCAGGCATCATGTGCTTCAAACGAGTATCTCAAGGCAGAAAGAACATGCCTTTTTTATTTTCCTTTTTTTATTAATTTATTTTAATTGGATTTACTTGTATTTACTTTATAATATTGTGGGGTTTGCCATACATTGACATGAATCAGTCACAGGAGTACATGTGTCCCCCTGTCCCAAATCCCCCTCCCACCTCCCTCCTCATCCCATCCCTCTGGGTTATCCCAGTAGACCAGCTTTGAGTGCCCTGTTTCATGCATCAAGCTTGGACTGGTGATCTATTTCACATATGGTAATATACATGTTTCAATGCTATTCTCTCAAATCATCCCACCCTTGGCTTCTCCCACAGAATCCAAAAGTCTGTTCTTTATATCTGTCTCTTTTGCTGTCTTGCACATAGGGTCATCATTGCCGTCTTTCTAAATTCCATATATATGCATTAATATATGGTGTTGGTGTTTTTCTTTCTGACTTACTTCACTCTGTATAATAGGCTCCAGTTTCATCCACCTCATTAGAACTGATTCAAATGCGTTCTTTTTAATAGCTGAGTAATATTCCATTGTGTATATGTAGCACAATTTTCTTATCCATTCATCTGCAGATGGACATCTAGATTGCTCCCATATCCTGGCTATTGTAAACAGTGCTGTGATGAACATTGGGGTACATGTGTCTCTTTCAATTCTGGTTTCCTTGGTGTATATGCCCAGCAGTGGGATTTCTGGGTTGTATGGCAGTTCCATTTCCAGTTTTTAAAGGAATCTCCATATTGTGCTCCATAGAGGCTATATTAGTTGGCATTCCTACCAACAGTGTAAGAAGGTTTCCTTTTCTCCACACCTTCTCCAGCATTTATTGTTTGTAGACTTTTTGATGGCAGCCATTCTGACTGGCATGAGATGGTACCTCATTGTGGTTTTGATTTGCATTTCTCTGATAATGAGTGATGTTGAGCATCTTTTCATGTGTGTGTGAGCCATCTGTATGTCTTCTTTGGAGAAATGTCTGTTTAGTTCTTTGGCCCATTATTTGATTGGGTTGTTTATTTTCTTGGTATTGAGCTGCATGAGCTGCTTGTATATTTTAGAGATTACTTCTTTTTCAGTTGCTTCATTTGCTATTATTTTCTCCCATTCTGAAGGCTGTCTTATAGTTTCCTTCATTGTGCAAAAGCTTTTAAATTTAATTAGGTCCTGTTTGTTGGTTTTGCTTTTATTTCCATTACTCTGGGAGGTAGGTCATAGAGGACCTTGCTGTGATTTATGTCAGAGAGTGTTTTGTCTATGTTTTCCTTTAGGAGTTTTATAGTTTCTGGTCTTACATTTAGATCTTTAATCCATTTTGAGTTTATTTTTGTGTTTGGTGTTAGAAAGTGTTCTAGTTTCCTTCTTTTACAAGTGGTTGACCAGTTTTCCCAGCACCACTTGTTAAAGAGATTGTCTTTTTTCCATTGTATATTCTTGCCTCCTTTGTCAAAGATAAGGTGTCCATAGGTGCTTGGATTCATCTCTGGGCTTTCTGTTCTGTTCCATTGATCTATATTTCTGTCTATGTGCCAGTACCATACTGTCTTGATGACTGTAGCTTTGTAGTATAGTCTGAAGTCAGACAGGTTGATTCCTCCAGTTCCATTCTTCTTTCTCAAGATTGCTCTGGCTATTTAAGGGTTTTTTTGTGTGTTTCCATACAAATAGTGAAATTGTTTGTTCTAGTTCTCTGAAAAATAACCATTGGTAGCTTGATAAGGATTCCATTGAATCTATAGATGGCTTTTGGTAGTATACTCATTTTCACTGCATTGATTCTTCTGATCCATGAACATGGTATATGTCTCCATCTATTTGTGTCATCTTTGATTTTTTTCATCAGTGTTTTATAGTTTTCTATATATAGGTCTTTTGTTTCTTTTAGAGAACATGCCTTTTTAAGAGTCCAGGCCCCTTTTTAAGAGGGAAGGAGACCTCCGAAGTATTACCAGCAGATTTATCGTGTCTCACTGATAGGAGCTGTGATACTTGCCCAATACCTGTACCAGTCACATGGCAAGAGGAGTGAGAGCATCACCTGGGGACTTGTAACTGGTACCAAAACTCAGGCCTCAGCCAGACATTCTGAATTGTGAAAGAAACTTGGGGGGAACAGGGTGAGTGGGAGCCATCATTTTATGTTTAAACTAGCACTTCGAGTAATTCTGATGCCCATAGACTGTGAGAACCACTGGCTTAGAGCAATCAAGAGTCATCCCTTGGGGCTGGGGACTGTCCCCTGAAGGATGTTACTACCAGAAAGAGGATAGTAGTTAGAAACGGGGAGGGAGGAACAGATGTTGGGTACATAAGTAGAGCTTGTCTGCAGTCACTGTGTCAGAGACCATTACTGCCCCCCCCCCCCCCCACACCTTTTCCTCTCCTCTGTCTGCTCCTCTGGACTCCACGCCAAGCTGCCTGCTCAGACTCTGGAGCAGCAAACTACATCAAAAATGCAACTTCCTGACTGTCACTTCTGATCATCATACCATAACTTACTTAAACAATACTTTTAAATTAAAATTTTTCATAGCAGATTTCAATAAGCCTGGAGTAATAAATGATTTTCCTTTTTATAGTCTTTACTAGCTGTAGTATTTTGTTTTTGTTTTTTTTTCCTGGGGAAAATAGTGATACTGGGGCTTCCCTCATAGCTCAGTTGGTAAAGAATCCGCCTGCAATTCAGGAGACCCCACTTCGATTCCTGGGTTGGGAATATCCCCTGGAGAAGGGATAGGCTACCCACTCCAGTATTCCGGCCTGGAGAATTCCATGGACTGTATAGCCCATGGGGTCTCAAAGAGTCGGACATAACTGAGCGGCTTTCACTTTCACTTTGGGCATTTGTATTTTTCCAAAAGTTCCAAGATAATTCTGTTAATGCATCTGGATTTTTAAAGGTGATTACAAGGTTTTCTGTTAAATGGTAGTTTTCAGTGATACAGAATTCTATTATTTTCTTGTAATAACATTTTGCTTTTTGATAGACTTCCTAAAGACAGAAAAATGGAAGAATCTGTAAACCAAATGCAGCCACTGAATGAGAAGCAGATAGCTAATTCCGAAGGCGGATATGTGTGGCAAGTCACTGATATGAATCGGCTACACCGGTTCTTATGTTTTGGTTCTGAAGGTGGGACTTACTATATCAAAGAACAGAAGCTGGGCCTTGAGAATGCTGAAGCTTTAATCAGGTTGATTGAAGATGGCAGAGGATGTGAAGTGATACAGGAAATAAAGTCCTTTAGTCAGGAAGGCAGAACCGCAAAGCAGGAACCCACGCTCTTTGCCCTCGCTATTTGCTCTCAGTGTTCCGACATAAGCACCAAACAAGCTGCCTTCAAAGCTGTTCCTGAAGTTTGTCGCATCCCTACACACCTCTTTACTTTCATCCAGTTTAAGAAAGATCTAAAGGAAAGCATGAAGTGTGGCATGTGGGGTCGTGCCCTCCGGAAGGCTGTAGCAGACTGGTACAATGAAAAGGGTGGCATGGCCCTCGCCCTGGCAGTTACAAAATACAAACAGAGAAATGGCTGGTCTCACAAAGATCTGTTAAGACTGTCGCATCTTAAACCTTCCAATGAAGGTAAGTGTGAGATCTTCATGGCGAGAGGTGAGGTACAGATATCCAGTAAATGGCAAATAAATTTGCCATAAGACAACTGTGTAACATTTTCTAGAAATAGTCTTTCAGTCATAAGACATTGATTGACTAATTCATATGTTTAATGCCAATTTGGAATTAAACACCTACACATTAATGATTAAGAATCAAATGACAGATTTGCAGATTGATATTCTAAATCTTGGGGCTTCCTAGGTGGCTCAGTGGTAAAGAATCCCCCAGCCAGTGCAGGAGATGCAGGTTTGATCCCTAGGTCAGGAAGATGCCCTGGAGTAGGGAATGGCAACCCACTCCAGTATTCTTGCCTGGAAAATCCCATGGACAGAGGAGCCTGGTGGGCTACAGTCCAGAGTCAGACACAACTGAACAACTAAGCACTTCCTTGAACATACATTCCATGGAGCCTAAAGGCTACCTGAAATAGTGCTGAAGTTAACAAATAGGATGTGACCTGTCCTCACGCAGCCATCCAGGGGTCATGGTAACTTGGGGCAGTTTTCCTGTGTCTATGAGAAGAGACTTTTGAGAAATTATTTGGATTACAATGACTCTTTAGTCCTTCTTAGAAGGGAAATAAGAAAGACTTTTGCACAGGATTAATGTGAACACTCATAAAATGAACATGTCCAAATCTGACATTTTTTCTTTCAGCAGAGGTGAAACTTGAAATGACAGCCCCTCAGATGAGTTCAGATTTCAGTTCTACTTATTACTGTATGTCCGTATACCAAGTAACTGAACCTGTCTGAGTTTCTGTATCTTCGTCTATTAAAAAAAAGGTAGAAAGGGAATAGCCCTTGAAATTACTGTGACTAACAGTGATAGTGTGTATCAGAATATTTACACACACAGTTTCAGACACAAGGGCAGTGTTGGTTGCTTCTCCTTCCTACACATCTTGTGTGGTGATGTCGTCATACATGGAAGCTCTTCAGTAGTTCCTCTTTTACCACTTTTTTCTAAAACTACAAATGAACTTTTTCAAATGAAATTTAAGCAATAAACTACTGTAAATATTTGTATACACAAACATGTATATTTTGATTTTTTTATTAGAAATTACATGCTTGTTATATATATTTATTGGTACTGTGGAGCTTGTGGGATCTTGTTTCCCCCATGAGGAATTGAATCCACACCCCCTGCAGTGAAAGCACATAGTCCCAATGACTGGACTGTCAGGGAATTCCAGATTTCACATTAAGACGTGTAAGACAGCAGAGTCACAATATTTTAGAAGTTCCTGCATGTTAATACTTTTAGTCAAATTATTTAGAGTTCAGAAATAGCACATAGGCTCAGTCTGTCTTAGAGGTGTATTTTAGTTGTCCTGAACTATATTTTAGGGGGAAAAATGAATTATTTGCCAGTATTACATAAAAATCCATATTGTACCTTATATTGAAAATACATTCCTTTAGCAGCACCAAGCCAATTTTTTTTTCCCAAATATTTCACTAAAATATCTGTCAGGTATATTCCGTTTAATTCACCACAGTCATGACCACTATTATTATATCAGTGACCTCTGTTTTATTTATTTTACCTACCTTCCCCCTGTAGATCTTGAAATTGATAATTATGTCCTCCCACTGTTTTACAGAAGTGGAAACTAAGGCTTCAGATGATCACACATGCATGTAGGCTAGAACCCAGATTTCCTCACTCCCCCAACCCAAAGCTTTTTCAACTATTGAAAGGAATTATAGAAGAAATGGACACATTATTTAGGCCTGTAATACTTTCTCAGCTGTTAAAAATTACAAGTTACCTACCTACCTGTCCACTTCACTTATCTCTGTAATTTACAAATGCATGTTTATTTAGCAGGTAAAGGGGCAAGTGAATATGAGATTAACTGAGGAAGATCTATACTTTGTGAATTGAGATTGTGGACGTGAGATAGCCACCGTGTACTAAAGGTTCTAATGCTACTGCTTCAAAAAAAAAAGCTCTGTAATAAAATGACTTTGGAGTCATTAGACTTCAAAACACATTAGGTTAGAGTTTTACCTCCAGAGTCTCATGGGATAGGCAAAAATTAGTTGACTCCATTTGCTTAAGTGTGTTTGTCATATTATGGGAAGTAGCATCCAGGCTTAAACTCCTGTGTATCTAGATGTGCCATTCACAGAAGGTGTTCTCAGTAACAGGTCCAGTTTTTTACCTGCTAATCCTACATGCCTTTTTAATTCTTTATTTTGTTGAAGGACTTGCTATTGTCACCAAATATATTACAAAGGGCTGGAAAGAGGTCCATGAACTGTATAAAGAAAAAGCGCTTTCTGTGGAGGCTGAAAAATTATTAAAGTATCTCGAGGCTGTAGAGAAAGTGAAGCACACAAAAGATGAACTGGAAGTCATTCATCTGATAGAAGAGCACAGACTGGTTAGGGAACATCTCCTAACAAATCACTTAAAGTCTAAAGAGGTAAGAAAGTTATAATACATTCCAGCATATGAGTAAACATGAGGAACTTAGGCTGTGTAGTAAAAGTATACATTTTGGTAATGCTTTTAAAATATATTAATACTTAAATTTTTTTTTTTTTTTTTTTGCCATACTGCATGCTTTGTAGGATCTTAGTTCCTTGACCAGGGGACCAGGAATTGAACTCAGGCCCCCGGCAGTGAAAATGCCAAGTGCTAACCCCTGGACTACCAGGGAATTCCCTAAAAACCTTAAATATATCTTTTTTTTTTTTTCCATTTATTTTTATTAGTTGGAGGCTAATTACTTTACAACATTGCAGTGGTTTTTGTCATACATTGAAATGAATAAATATATCTTAAAATTAACATTTATTTAAAACACCTGGGCACAATGCCCAGCTGTAGTTGGCAATTTTTAAGTATTAGCTCCACTCCAGAAAATGTATTGGTTAGTTTACCACGCTAATTAAATAAATAAAATTCTTACATACAGTTCCTTCACAAAATATAATGTACTTAACTTTATTACTCTAATAAAGAGCAGGTTACTTTGTTCCATGAGTCTTTGACCAACCTACACAAATTTTTATTTAGAAAGTGGTCCGAAACCCCAAAAGAGAGCCTTAAAGACTATTATTAATTGATATGTGTATGTTACATGTATTTATTTCCCCTTAATTCCTTTTATTTCTGCCTGTTTTATTGCAATAGGTATGGAAGGCTTTGTTACAGGAAATGCCTCTCACAGCATTACTTAGGAATCTGGGAAAGATGACAGCTAACTCAGTGCTTGAACCAGGAAACTCAGAAGTGTCTTTAGTATGTGAAAAGCTGTGTAATGAAAAACTGTTAAAAAAGGTAGGTGTTACCTTTGTTAACTACTGCTAATTGAAAAAATAGGCTCTTAAATTTTGGAAATGGAGTCAGCGAATTTTTTAGGTGTTTTGAGACTTTTATCATACTATATAGCTGCTGCTGCTGCTAAGTCGCTTCAGTCGTGTCCGACTCTGTGCAACCCCATAGACGGCAGCCCACCAGGCTCCCCCATCCCTGGGATTCTCCAGGCAAGAACACTGGAGTGTGTTGCTTTTTCCTTCTCCAATGCATGAAAGTCAAAAGTGAAAGTGAAGTCGCTTAGTCGTGGCCTACTCTTAGCAACCCCATGGACTGCAGCCTACGAGGCTCCTCCATCCATGGGATTCTCCAGGCGAGAGTACTGGAGTGGGGTGCCATTGCCTTCTCTGTACCATATTGCATTGACTCTGAAATCTAAATTTAATATGTCCTCATTTTTCTCTTTATGAAATAGATCTATTAGCTACAATAACAAAAATCTAAGAGACATGATTACTGTTTTTCACTTGAATTTGACATTTGCTTTCTGTCTCTGTCATGCTCTAGGCTCGTATACATCCATTTCATGTTTTAATTGCGTTAGAAACTTATAAGACAGGTCATGGGCTCAGAGGAAAACTGAAGTGGCGCCCCGATGAAGAAATTCTACAAGCTTTGGATGCCGCTTTTTATAAAACATTTAAGGTAATGGTTTGATTTTTGTTTGAAAACAAAAAACCCAGTTAAGATTTAGAAACACATTTTAAAGATGATGTTAGTAGTTTAACCACTTTTGATTAGGTATTCATTTGTTCATGTGAAAATGAATATATAATTATGATTATATTCATAAGCTTATGAATAAAGTATTTGTCTCTACCTTTGGACAACAAGCAGACATCAACCATTAAATTTTGATGTGTTAAATTACTAAATTTAAAAATGTGCATTCCTGTGGAGTCCTGGGACTTGATCTTCTGTCCTGTTTTCCCCGTTAATCAGTAGTAGATCTCCTCTGTCATGATAGGGAATAATCTTTTTTACAAATGGAAATTCTATATCAGAGCCATAAGTTAAAGTTTTTGGTTTTAAAAAAGTCTTGCTCTTCAACAAAGTATTAGCAACCAAATTCAGCAGCAGATTAAAGAGATTATACAAGTGAGAGTCACCCTCAACATACAAGGATCATACAATATAAGAAAAATCAGTGTAATATAACATCATGTTAAAAGATAACACATGATATCTCAATTGATGCAGAAAAGCATTTGACAAAATCCTATACCCTTTCTGATTTTAAAAACAACAACAACAACAACAACTCAGTAAACCAGGAATAGAAGTAAGCTTCCTTAGTGTAATAAAGGTCCTGTGTAAAAAACCCACAGCCATCATCATACTCAGGGGTAAAAGATTGAAATCTTTTCCCTTAAGATCAGAAACAAGACCAGGATGCCCACTTTTCCCACTTTGATTTACATTTACTAGATGTTCTAGCAGTTATGAAAGGAAAAGAAATACTAAAATGTATCCAGGTTGTTTTCATTTTCATTTTCAAATTTTTTATTAAAAAAAATTGTTTTGTCCACTCCTGCAGCATGCAGGATCTTAGCTCCTCAACCAGGAATTGAACCCATGCCCCCTGCAGGAGAAGTGCAGAATCTTAACCACTGATCCACCAGGAAAATCTCAGTCCAGGCTGGAAAGAGAGAAAAACTATCATGTTCTCAGATGATTTGATCTTACACGGAGAAAACCATAAAGAATTCACAAAATAGGATTCCCCTGGAGTCTAGTAGTTAAGACTCCACCCTTCCACTGCAGGGGGCACAGGTTCTATCCCTGGTTGGAGAACTAAGATCCCACATGCCACATGGCATGACCAAAAAGAATTTTTTTAAAAATTCCACAAAATAATATTAGATCTAGCAAATGGATTCAGCGGAGTTGCAGGATATAAATTCAGCAGGAAAAAAATCAGTAGTATTTCTATACACTAGCAATGAACAGTCCAAAAACAAAATTAAGAAAACATTCCATTTACAACAGCATCAAAAATAATGAGAAACTTTGGAGTAAATTTAACTATGGGGTATAAGACTGACTTACTGAAAACTGCAAAACACTACTGAAAGAAATTTTAAAAATAAATAAATGAGAAGACATCCTTTGTACCTAGTTTGGAAGACTTCATGATGTTAAAATGCTGGTGTACCAAAAGCCATCTACAGATTCAGTGTGATCCCTGTGGCATGTTTAGCCGAAACAGAAATCCCCACCCTAAAATTTATATGGACTCTCAAAGGAACCCAAATTGGGAAACCTATGTTGAAAAAAAAACAAAGTTGGAAGACCCACACTTCCAAATTTAGGATTTAAGTTACTACAAAGCTACAGTAATCAAAACAGTGTAGTACTGGCATAAACACGACATGTACACCAACAGAATAGAGCAGGGAGCCTAGAATTAAACTCACACATGGAGATGGTCAGTTGATTTTTTAATACAGTGTCAAGACAGTTCAATGGAGAGAAGATGTAGTCTTTTAAATGGTGCTGGGGAGACTGGATATCCACATGCAAAAGAGTGAAGCTGGACCGTTACTTTGCACCACATACAAAAATTAACTCAAAGTGACCTGTAGATAAGACTTAAAACTACACAGCTGTTAGAATAAGACATATTATAAAAGCTCATTTAAAAAAAAAAAAAAAAGCTCATGACCCTGGGTTTGGTAGTAAATTCTTAGATGTGATACCAAAAGCACAGACAAGAAAAGGAAAAGTAGATAAATTTTGACTTCATCAAAACTCAAATCTTTTGTGCATCAAAGGACACTGTCAAGAGAATGAAAAGATACCTGCAGAGGAGGAGGAAATATTTGCAGATCATCTATTTTATAGGGGTTTAACATCCAGAATACACACACACATATATGTGTGTGTATATATATATCCAGAATATATATATATTTATATACATGTGTGTGTGTGTATAAAACTCCTACAACTCAACAGTAAAAATACAAACAACCCAGTTCAAGATATGGGCAGAATACTTGAACAGACATTTCTCCAGGGAAGGTAAACAGATGGCCAATTAAGCACATGCAAAGATGCTCAACATCAGTCATCAGGCAAATGCAAATCAAAACCTCAGTGAGATGCCACTTCACACCTAGTTGGATGGCTCCGGCCATCCAAAAATACCACCTCCTATGTATATACCCAAAAGAATTGAAAACCGGAACTCATATACTTATACCCAGGTACTTATACCCAGATGTTGATAGAAGCATTATTCACAGCAGCCAAAAGGTGGGAACAACCTGAGTATTCATCAGGAGATGAATGGACAAATGAAATATGATATATGCATATAATGGAGTATTCAGCCTTACAAAGTAGTAGAACTTGAAAGGTGCTACAGCAGTGATGAACCTTGAAAACATACTAGGTGAAAAAAAGCCAGACAGGAAAGGATAAGTATACTATGGTTCCCCTCATGAGGTTTCCAGAATACACAAATTCATAGATGTAGAAAGTAAAACAAGTTGCCTAGGGCTAGAGGTGGATAAGAATGAGGAGTTATTGTCAGTGGGTACAGAGTTTCTGTTGGGATGATGAAAAAGTTCTGGAAATAGTAATGGTGGTTATATACATACATACATACATATATATATATATATATATATATATATATATATATAACGTGAATGTATTTAATGCTGCTGAATTATACACTTAAAAATGATTAGAAAGTAAATTTTATGTTGTTTATATTTTACTACAAAAAAAATTCCTTGCTGGAAATTCCCAGTTTACTTCATGAGGAAAAGTTAAAAAAAAAAGAAAGACTGTAACTTCTTTAAGTTACTAAATAGGACATCTTATTTTCATTGTTTTACCTCTAGTTAAAGCTAAGCATTCCTAAATATTTGTCAACTGGTAAATCAAAAATCAAGCCTTTTATCTTAGTCTTTTAAGTGAAAACTAAGTAAATATGATATGTTAGAAATTTAATTTATTTACAGTTTCTGTGACTGCTTTTAATGATTGTTCTGTCTTCTCTTTAGACAGTCGAGCCAGCTGGAAAGCGTTTCTTACTGGCAATCGATGTCAGTGCTTCTATGGACCAAAGAGTTTTGGGTAGTGTACTCAATGCAAGCACAGTAGCTGCAGCAATGTGCATGGTGAGAACTCCTAAGGCAATTTAGGATTTTGCCATACTGAAAATATTTACCTGGCGCAAAACTATAAAGTTAGATATGATCAAAAATTATATTTTCACTTGTTTTAAGCAAAGCTTTAAGTATTGTATATGTACTTGAGTATACTTATATATTCCAGTATTCTTGCCTGGGAAATCCCATGGACAGAGGAGCCTGGCAGGCTACAGTCCATGGGGTTGCGAAGAGTAAGATACAACTTAGCGCCTGAACAACAAAAACATACTTACATATACTTTAATACGTAGGTATATACGATATTGTAGGTATATTGAAAAAGGATGTCTAAAGAAAAATCAGAGTAGAACTTTTAATTTTACAATAACAGATTAAATGTTACTGGTATTTTTAAAGAAATAGATAATGCTTAGAGAAATTATTAATGAATATAGATGTTAAAAGATCAAGGACTAATAATAATAGACAGGAGACTTTGGTTCTAGCCTGACTCAGTAGCTAGTAACCGTCAGTGAGTTTCTTAGCTTCTCTTCTGTGGCTTTATTGCCTATTTAATAAAATAAGAAGAATAATATATAGTCTATTTGCTTCAAAGGATTGTTGTTACAACCAGTTTCTTTGTAAGAGTTTGTGAAAGTGCTTTGAAAGCTATACTACTGTTACTGTATAGTTTTCAAATGCAGTAAGTTCAGAAATAAATCATCATATTTTCTTTTAAAGATGAACTTCAAGAGACTGTATTTGTTTCCCCTAAATGTACTGAAAATTCCTACTATTGAATTTTTCAGGTTGTCACACGAACAGAGAAAGATTCTTCTATAGTTGCTTTTTCAGATGAAATGGTACCATGTCCAGTGACTACAGATATGACCTTACAACAAGTTTTACTGGCTATGAGTCAGGTAAGAAACTATTTCATGTAGTTTATTTAACATGTATTTTATAATAATTTTGTATTGATGTCATGCCTGATATTAATCAATATATGAGAATACATTGTGTTACATCTCAGTTTTTTTTACGAGCACAAAATCAAAAATATATTTACAAGCTTTCAGAAGGCATATACATTGGCGCTAAACAAGATGCTAACATGTAAAATAGTATTTTTAAGTATTTAATTATTTCAGACATTTCAGTATGGAAATGAGAGCATTTTCTTTTATTCTTAACCATGTTTTTATTCTGAGTTAGATCCCAGCAGGTGAAACTGATTGCTCTCTTCCGATGATCTGGGCTCAAAAGACAAATACAGCTGCCGATGTCTTCATCGTATTCACTGATAACGAGACCTTTGCTGGAAGTGTCCATCCTGCTATCGCTCTGAGGGAATATCGAAAGGTAAAGCAAATTCTAATATTCTTCCTCACCCCAAACAAGATTCAGTTCTAAAACAGTCAATATATGTTTTTTTTAAATGATACTGAAGGTAGCTGTGTACCTTTGTAAAAGGAATGCGACACCAGTTCTGGACTCAACAGTACTTGAAATGAGGAAGAACTGAGTACACATATATAATTTATCTCAACCAGTTCCAGATGTACACATTTTAATATCCCTTGCAAACAGTATTTTCAGTAACAATCAAAATTTTTTTAAATTTAACCATAAATTTTTTAATGATTCAGCATTTCTGAGTTTTGCTAAGAACTGCATAAACGTAAAGCAAAGCTATAATATAATGTGTGTTTTAAGTGTTATGAGTATTTCTGAGTTCCAATCAGTGCGCTGCAGTTGAACTTTCTGAAATGAGGGAATTGTTCTGTATCTGCACTATCCGGTATGGCATCTACTAGTCAGGTGAGAATGTGGAGTGCCGGGGTCCAGCCTCGGCAGGATCCTGGGGGTACCCTCAGGATGAACAGTGTCGGCGAGAGAGAGGACACGTGAGACTAGCCTTGACAGGGCCAAGTCTGTGTTTTACTTTTTGACAACCGGTTTTATACCCTTTCACAGAACGTTTTCAAGGTACAAGATGCTTACTCATGATTACACAGGATTAGCATTACATCATTTTGATTTTTAGGAAAAGCAGGACTTTTTTGTTTTCTAATTCTATAGTAATTCTTAGCACGAGATCTTCTGGCCTTGGGGCTATTAACATTTTATGCAGGTCAGGTGATTGTAAACCTATTTTCCGTTTTTATGGTGACCTTAACTGAAAGGTAATAGTGTCATAGGGAAATAGTACAGAGTAGAATTATATTCTTGTTAATACAAAAATTAATCTTTCTGCAAAAGTTGTCAGTTGCGTTTATCTAAGAAGTTTACCCCATACTGACTCTGCGACTTTGGTGAGGCAGCTTCTGCCTAGCACTCCTGACTGACAATTAACAACCATCTCATTGTTACCACACTAGGGCTAAGTCCTTATTTCTCTAGATCTTAAACTATATTAACAATGGTTTTTATAACACAACCTTAGCACATTAAAGGCAAAAATACAGCAAGCATAAACACAGCAAGCAAATCACCCAATATCCACCTATAGAATAATTTTTCTTATGTTTTCTAATAGGACTCCTTTACCCCTTAAAAAGGCTCTATGTCTGTTAGGGCTTTTATATAATCAGGTTCTTTATGCTATTTTATGATTAGGATATTATAAGCAATCATGCATATTAGTACCAAGGGCATAAATGCATTTGGCTAACAAACTACCAGCAAAGGAGTTTAAATTAAAACACTCCTTTCACCCTGGATAATCTCATAAAATACCACCACCTGGGAAACTTATTGATTAAAGTTCTAAATTGATTCTTATTTGGGAGGAGATCGGGGAAGGCCTTCCTGGCCTGTGTCAGAGAAATTAGGGAGTAGTCCATTGAGGCAGGCATAAAAAAGAGAGATATCATCTTTAAGGTGAGCGCTGGGGGCAGCTTTTTGAAATCCCTGAGAACCTGATCTGCCTTGCCTGTCAGGCTTTCTCCTCGTGACCTTATCATGGGTGGGATCTCGTGAGCTGGCCTTTTCGAAACCCCTGAAAACCTGATCCGCCTTGCCCATCAGGTTTTCTCCCTTACGGCCTTGTTAGGGGTAGGGTCTCGTGTGTTGGCTCCTGGCAGTGGAGCACTTGAATTGTGGCAGATGCGACTGGAAGTAGAACCAGAACTTGATGAGAGCAGTGGTTCTCAAAGTGTGGTTTCCTGCCTGCACCTTTTCTTAGCGTCACCTGAGACCTTGTTAGAAATGCATGTTCCTGGAGACCCTGGGAGACCTGCTGAGTCAGGAACTCTGGGGATGGGACTGTGTGTTAATAACCCTTTTTGGGGGTTCTCGTGTGTGCTTAAGAGAACAAGTGAGAGAATGGAACTCAGAGTCAAGAAGCCTGGGTTCTGAGTCCTGGATCTTTCTCTTTATACTAGCTATAGATCCAAGTGAATTATTTAACTGATACATGTCTTAATAGTATATTACTGCTGTGGGTATGTACCATGTTGGTTAAAAGTACTACTTACTTAGGGTTGTTATAACAATTGTTATTGTTTAGTCGCTAAGTCATGTCCCACTCTTGTGATTCCTCGGACTGTAGTCATCCAGACTCCTCTGTCCATGGGATTTCCCAGTCAAGAATACTGGAGTGGGTTGCCATTTCCTTCTCCAGAAGATTTTCCCCACCGAGGGATTGAACCCTTGTCGCCTGCATTGGCAGACGGATTCTTTACCACAGAGCCACCAGGGAAGCCCTCACTGTAACAGTTAACATTAGATCAGTTGTCTAAAGAGCTCATGGTATCTGACATAGTGCACACTCAGTGATTGTTAGTCTTTCTCAAAAACTCAAGTGTTTTAGCCTTAAATCACAGTTGCAGAGAACAAGTTATTACATTGGCATTATAGTTACGACATTTACATATGTCATACATAGCAAAGTCATAGAACAAAAATTGATAACCCCAGGAACTGTTTCCTTATGTGTATCCATACATACTGCCCCAGTGTATGATGTGCTGGTAAATATGTCTGATGTCTCTGAATATTCTGACAGGTTTCATGAGTACAGAGTCCCTGTGCTGCTCAGGAATGTATTTTGTGTCCATAAAATGAGTAGTAACATCCAGCAGAGAAGCAGGAATTTCAGGCAGGTTGTTCACATGTTTAATCGTCTATACTTCTAAAGATCACATTCTATTCTTCTGAAGTCTTCTGGCCCCAGAAGACTGACAGATTTTATGGAGGAAAAACAAATTGGCTTTGTAATAAAAAGCTATGATAGAATTTAAAATGTTTTAATTTTGGAGCTTATTTGCTTTTGCTTATTAACATACTATTTTTTAAATATCTTTGGTCTTTTCCTACAGAATATGGATATTCCAGCTAAATTGATTGTTTGTGGAATGACATCAAGTGGCTTTACCATTGCAGACCCAGATGACAGAGGCATGCTGGACATGTGTGGCTTTGATACTGGAGCTCTGGATGTGATTCGAAGTTTCACATTAGACATGATTTAACCATAAGCACCAGCACAATCTAAGAGGTCCACTGCCATCAGTGATCTCACTAAAAACACACAGCTACTTCCCAGCTAATCTTAATCCACTGAAAGAAGTCAGACAATGGTACAGTATGTGCATAATGGAAAGGTTACCTTACCAAAAAAAAAAAAGGAAGGAACAATAAGAGGAGCCCAAAGTTCTTTCTACTAAACTAGCTTTTGGGAAATAGCTTCAGAATACACTGTAGCCCCCTCTACCTAACAGAGAACTTCTTGTTGAGACACTGTAAAATAGTCAAACAGTTCTGCTTTGGTGAATGATCACATTTGTACTTAAAAGAAGTGAAAGCCAAAAGTGTAAGTAGTCCTGTATCATGTCATTTGTTTGAGAAATGCCTTTAAGTTTTCTTAAATGTTTTCATTGGTAAAGGACAGCTTTGATAATGTCCAAATAATCTGAAATGCACTGGACCATGTACTGTGATTGATTATGAAACTCCTTGAAAATCTTTATACCAAGGGGATAAAACAACCACCAAGACATTTGCTTATGAATGAGTTTTACAAATTGCTTTAACAGTTTTCTCCAATCACATAGATAGCAGCATTCTCAGTCACTGAAAAAGATGCTCTGTTTCTGAGGGTTAATTTACACTTACAGGATTGTTTACCATTAACCAGAAACATAATGGAAACCTTTGAGAAGAGAAACTAAAGTTTGTGTCAGCTGAGGAAGTCTATTTTGGTTTGTTCTTGTTTGTTTATTGCTGTGAGGGGCATGACTTGATGGTTTCCTGTGGCTTATACCAACATAGCCACGTGTAGGGACACATTTTTTCATATGTTTCATCTTATGAGAACATAAGGTGTTTCAAGCATTTAACTTCCCCTACTCATAATCTGAAAAATATGACAAAATCTCAACTATAACCATAATCTGGTTATACCTTAATTTAAAATATTTTACCTTACTTTAAAATATTGTTTTAATTTTAATTACTTTTTTTAGCCAAGTATAAATGGGTTTTAGATATTTCTAATTGTAAACATGTTGGCATCCTCCTCTCTTTGTCTACTATTCATTTGTGGCAAAATATTCTTTTTTGATAGTGTAAAAAAATAAGCAAGCTAGGTCTTTCAGGTTTGAAAGGCAATTTTTGAGTGGCATATTACCACTAACCAGTCTATAGGAAATTAAATTTTTCTTATTTGTGTGTATTAAACTTCCTATTCATTATAAAGTGCATTATTTCCTTGAGCAAATAACCCTTCTGTGTGGGGAGCTTTAAGCTGTTGAAATGCCAATATATTTGCTCATAATTATATCATGGTTATCTAAGATAATGTGCACATAAAACCTAATTTTTAATGTATTGTTCCTTAAATGTATTTAAAGATTTACTGGGGATAAGCCTTCTCACTATGAAAAGTCAAACAATAAGTGTGAATCACAGACTTTTGTGTGCTTGGGGTTAGAGATTTTATGTTGGGGGCAGAAGGGTTAAGTAATGTTAGAATCTGTATGTTTTCTTCTGTTTCATGAGAAATTTGGGCTCTGGGAGTGACAAGAAAATGTCCCTTTCAAACTTATTTGACATATTTATACTGGGTTTATCTGATATGTAGCCATTCCTTCAAGGCAACTGGTAGCAATTTGTAAATATTGTGATTTACCTGAGATATTGGTCAACAAAGCTAGTGGCATCACTACCCAACACCCCAAAAATACATCACTTCTGGTATCTTTGGTTTTTTACCCTCTGTCAGGCATTAGATTTGAAATGTTAGCTACTTTCAATACATTAAAATATTATGCTCAGATTGAATTTAAAGTGTAAAGAACCTAATAGAATTATGTAATTGTACTTGAATTCATTACATAAACCCAAGGTCGTCTTAAATTAAAAATTATAACATGATCTAACTTTTTATTCCTAATAGAAATGTTAAGTGGAGTATAATATAAACACTTATTTCCTTCAGTTAAATACTGTTTCTATATTGTTTTTAGACAATATTCAGAAACTAATATTAATAAATCCATCAGAGAAGTATGATTAGCTGTGACCTTTTTGAAGTCACATAGAAAAGTTTATTAAATGTTAAGATTTGAGAAAACTAAAGACCACCACACAAGGTAGCTTAATTTTCAAATGATAGAGCTTTAGAGCTGGAAATAACCTTAGAAACGTAAAAGGTAATTCTTTGACTTAGGCTAGGAACCTGAGGTCCAAGAGAGTGTGACATTGGAGCCCTAGATCGAGAAATGGCCTCCTCATTCTCATCCCAGTGTTCATTTCCCCACGAAATGGGAGGACATTTACTTACAAGAGTAAGGGATAAAATAGAATTATTCAAAACTTTTATCTTTTTAGGTATTAGGAAATAATTAATGTATATACATGATTGCTTTAGGAGTAGAAAAACAAGTTGTGAACATGTATACTTTTGTAGTTCATAGTGACCCTCAAGCACAATTAATATCTTAATAACCTGTGTTGCTATATAACATAGTCATATAGAAAAAATAAAAACTTTTACCTCATTATGAATAAAATATTCTCAAGTAATAAAGAAGTTTTATTTTCTAAATTACTTTTAGCATTACTGCTGATTAGGAAAATGTTGCTTTTTTAAAAAAAAACCTAAGAAAAATAAACTTTATGTCCCAGAAAATAGGTAAACATTTTCAGGATATAGTTGTAATTAGTAAAAACAAAAACTAATCTTATAATCCTACCCTTTCCTTGTTAGTTGAAATTTCTATGAAATTCCACTTAGGAACACTGTCTTGTACTGTTTAGTTTAGTGATCATCTTATGGGAATATTGGTGAGGAAAATGCTCAATGAATAGGATGTACCATCATCTCCCTGGAGCCTCTTTCACTAACTTACTGTGTGACTGGAGACAATCAGTTTAACCTGTGTGATTCAATTGTGCTATCCTTAAAAAACAATATATCTGATCCTTGGGTCATAGAAGAATCAATGAATTTATATCTGTATGAAAGTCAAAATTGGGAAGAGGGCTTGCAATACAAATTAGAACGTCTTCAAAATTAAAACTTTAATAGGGTATATGTTTTTAAAGATAAAATGTTTTAGAAAAACAGCTCATTAGCTGAGTAATTTTTTTAAACACTCCTGTTCTGAATGGGAAATGTCATCATCCTCTGATAAGAGAAAGAAGTAATATATTCCAAGTCTTAAGATCCCATTAAAAAACAAACTCATACTCTTAAGTAAGAAGATGGTCTTACAAACATTTGCTTAACCTTTTAAATAACAGGTAAATCTATAAATGATAGAATATCAGCTAATCAGGCTTTTTTTCTGCAAAACAATTTAAAGTTATTTAGGAAATTTAAGACAGGATTTCTGAATAAATGTGAGGATCTGATAGTTAAGTGAGAAAGTCTTTAGAAGCACAGTAAAGCTACGTGATAAAGGAAAATGATTGTGATCACTTATTGGACTTATTTTAATTTGACTTAAAGGTACCCACACACTTCTCAATAAGGCCCTTAACAGTAAGTAATCAAAAATGAAAAATTCTAGTCTTGTCTACCACAGACATGGGTGATTTGTTAAGGCGATAACCCCTCTAGAGAAATGTCAGATAGCTGCAATGAACACATGCACAAGGGAGAATTAGGGGAAAAGGTGGGCTGGACTAATTAATTAGGTGAACTTACTGTATGCATTTAATCTAGTATATCCCATATACCTGCCCCCTAGTCCCTTATTTGTTGAAAGATTACTTCTATACCTTTTTTTCCTTTTAAAATTCCTTTCTTTGTTCTGACATTTTGGTCTTTTGTTTTTCTACTCCTGCTCTACCTGCGTAATAAAGTGAATGACAAGAAAGTCACCTGTATTTTTAAGTTTGGGACCCATCTTTTGCAGATTGCTTTTTGTTCCACATAGAGTTAAGGTCACATTTTTTTTCAAATTAATAACAGGCAGGTCTCCTGGAACAATAATCAAATTGATAAATTCTCTTCCCAATCAAGTTAACTTGTATACCTTTTATATAAGCTGTATGCAGAAATTCTGTGGCCTTTTGAGTAGGGTTAGTTATTCAGCCTTTGTTTGCAATTACAGGTGTACCTGGCTCTTAGAAAAAGCACTCTTTGAAAAATAAATAACTGAATACGCTCAGAAAGGAGCACACCTCAGTGCTCATATTTCCGTAATTATAAAGACTACCCACAAAATCTTTGGTCTACCAAGTACTTGGCGATGCTTGTATATACATGGGTTGTAGTATAAAAGGTTTTGTATCCACATTGAACATTTTTTACTTGGTATTTTATTTACTTTTGAAAAGTTATTATGACGTTAATTTAAAAATTAATCCTATGGTAGTATTTTTCATATAGAAAACTAATAATTAAAAAAGAAACTAATAATATAGTTAAACTTACTGTTTGAATAGAAATTATAATAAATGACACATTTTCCTAAACTCTGAAAATACCAAATTATATAGGAAATTGGTAAAAAGAAACATAAATTTAGGAGATATGTTGCAGAATTCTATGACTGAAATTAATGTGATTATTTTCAATGAGAATTAATTTTGTAAATACAATGAAAACATAAAAGGTATTTCTGAGCCTAAGAAAATTTTTCCATTTGCTTCTATTTAATTTAGTACCGCCATGTTGTGCTCACTTCGGCAGCACATATACTAAAATTAGTACCACCATGTTCTAGTAATTTTATGAACAGAAGTGAAAATATTTCATTTTCAAATATATTTAAATTTTTCTGCTTTTAGAAGCTATCAGAATCTCTACATGAAAAAACAAATAGTAAGTTAGATACGTTTCACTTGATAAACATTTGGATTGTTAAGGGTAGTAAATGGGGTTAAAGCCTTGCTATTTTATGTATCGTTACCACATAATTGATGGAACATTATATCAATACAATCATTGTATCAAAACCTCTGTTTAAATTACTTACTAAGCTTTATTTGCAATGCAAACTGTTTAGAATCCACACACGGCCAAATCAAAGATATTATATAATTAGTGAATAGTAACCAAGAAAAAATATTTTTGTTGCACTACTAAAGATGGACTGCACGTAATTTGGTATGGTGTGACTAGACATGACTTGTAATGCATCTGAATTATATTTTCCTCCTTTTAGTGTCAGCTTCTGATAATGAAGAAATTCTCCTAAGGGATGAGATATATGAAATCAGCTTTTAAAAAATTGGTTGGGGAAGAACTGTTATAATCTAGTTATAAAGTCTCATTTTTTTTTATATAAAGGCTTTGATTTCCATATTTGACCACTCAGTATTTAAATTATACAGACTAATGCCCGCACAGAATAAAATTGAAGTATATAAGAGCCTTAAAGTGAAAAAAATGAACCTTCTGACTGCCTTAAAATATGACTAGCTCTCCAACACAGGCATACATACTTTGCTTAGGGTCTGTTCATTAAGTAATGCCTTAATAGTGTCAGTATTTCTGAAGTATAGAACTTGAAGGTTCTTTTACAGCTTTCTCTTTTTACATAAAGAATGGAAATTTAACAAGTGTTAAAATCTGATTGTACATTAGTTGTTTAAGCACCCATTAACAGGATAATCTAGGACACTGATGTGTTATACATACATGACTGTTAACATCAGTAATACCTTGTGATAGTTTAAGGTTTTTTTATTGTTTTATATAACAAATTATCCAAGAAGCTGGACTCTATGTAACATGATCTCCAAGGACCAAGTTGCATATTTAAACACTCTGAGTGAAAAATAAAATTGTACAGTTCCAAAAATGATTAGTTTTTTAAGGGAATTTTTCAAGACAAAAGGCAAATATTTTCTTTCAAGCCTACCAGCAATTCATTCCAAAAGTGAATACAGTTGTAAAACAGTTGCAATAAGAAGTATCGAGGCCAGTGATGTTTAATTACATTCACATTTTTACATTCACTTTGCCTTTTAAAGCAGGAATATTTTATAAAAATGAGAGAAAACTTTAAATTGTCAAGCTGGTGCTTTAAAGTATATAAAGTCTGATCTATAACACATTCCATTTCAAAGAAAAAGGACCCTGAAAGGAGGGGCAGGGTTTTCCTAGATCTGTTGATAAACTCACTGATACTCTGTTGAGTCTTCCAAGTTATCACTGTAAATAACACATCTAACAATGTAATTCTGCTGTTTTCTGATAGAAAGATGGATGAAACACTAATGTATGAAATTTGTTTCATGACAAAATAGTTTCCACCAATACTGTGAAATCTGGACTCTCCTGTCTAGCCCTGCAAAACCCATACTGGATAAATCATTCTAGACATCGAGTGCAGGTGGGCACAATGTGAGCTGTTTCTGGTCACTTGTATTATTATAGAATTTGATAGAGGTACCAAATAAACTCTATGCACATCAAGTATTTGTCTTTTTGTTTCTTGAAAGAATTTTAAGGTTATTATATGCCTTGTAAGAAGCTTCCAGGTGGCACTAGTGGTAAAGAACCCACCTGTCAATGCAGGTTAGACATATGAGACGCAGGTTCGATGGAAGATCCCCTAAAGGAGGGCACGGCAACCCACTCCAGTATTCTTGCCTGGAGAATTCCATGGACAGAGAAGCCTAGCGGGCTGCAATTCATAGGGCCACAGAGTGGGACGTGACTGAAGTGACTTAGCATGCATGGCTTAAAAGATGTAAGGCTCTTGGCCTTATATTTTATAATCTTACAGTATTTGAATATTCAATCTTATAATAGTTGAATAAAATGAAATTTTATTGATTTTTTTGATTAATCAAAATACTGGTTAATTAATCATTAATACTGGTCTTGAAATGCCTCAATGTTTATTTAAAATATGTGCTTGAGGAGTCTTTTCCAAAGGGTATTAATTATAGAATCAAAACTAGATTTAATAAAAATACTTATTTTTAAAGAGTTTAAAAAGGATTCTTTTGTGGGAAAAAAATTATTCAAAGTTGCCTTTGGGAGGAAGGAAAGGATAAATTGGGAATTTGGGATTAACATACACACACTACTATATGTAAATTAGGTGACTAACAAAGACCTACTATATAGCACAGGGAACTAGTAAATACTATGAAATAACCTATAAGGGAAAAGAATCTGAAAAAGAATATATATATATACACACACATATATATAAAATAGGTATATAATCTGTAACTGAATCACATTGCTTTACACCTGAAACTAACACAACACTGAAAAGCAACAATACTTCAATTACAAAATTTTAAAAAATAGAAAATAAAAGTTGCCTTTGGGAAAAGGTAACACCAAAACTCAACTATGCAAATAAAAATATTTTAAGTGCCAATTTACAGAGATTTCTTTTCTCTAAATTCCCATCAAACTTTCATATTAAAAGTGCTAAGATCTGAGCCATAGGAATTGAAGAGAAAAAGCTACATATGAATATACCCACCAAAACTCTGTAAACATTCATTCGATATTAGAGTTCTCCATTTAAAGATGGCAGTGAACAGCTGTATAGAGAAAGGAAGATCACAAACTACAGTTTACCCTTGGAACTTGGGTTTGAACTGTGTGGGTCCACTCAGATGTGGATTTTTTTCAGTAATAAATACTGCAGTACTAGACAGTCTGTAGCAGGATGAATCTGAGGGTGCAGAGGACTGATTCTAAATTACACTTGGATTTTCAAGGTGGTATTCAGAGCCCCAATCCCTGCCTTATTCAGGAGTCAACTGTAAATATTTCCTCACAGATGAGCAGAACTAAACTTCATTTTAAACCTTAATTAGGAAACTTGCCTTTAAAAAAATATTGTTCAAACAGTATTTTTTTTTAGTATTAGTAAATAATGAAACAAATATATTTTAAAAAATCCCTTTTTTCCCAGCAGCTTTTCAGCTTCCCAATTAAATATTTTGGCAATTCATGTCTAAGTTGATTAGTGGTAAAAGTGAGTGGGAAAAAATGGCCTGTTTTTTTAAAATATTAAACAGTTTGTCTTTCAGATCTTAACATTAAAAATCAAAGACCAAAAAAAAGATCATACTTTTTCTTAAACAGGTCACCATTTTCTTTCTAACCTATGATTCTGGAAAGAAAGTACAACTGCCAAAACCTAGTTTTGCATTAGATTTATATTAGAACTTTTATCCAGCTGTAATTTATGGTGTTATAGACTGAATGTGTCTCCCCAAAATTTATGTTGAAACCCTCATTCCCAATAACAATTATGCTTTTTTCCACTGAAAACTTATGTCCCCCCACCCAAACGTCTTTCTGTTAATCCTCCGCTTGGTAACAAGTCCCTGCATAGTCAGTTAAACTAAAGTTCTTAGTCATCTGGGACTGGCATGTCACCTGGGCAGCTGCTTAGTCCCACAGGACTGTCCCTTGCAGCACTCACTTCAGATGCCTGTCTGTCCAGGTTGTCACCTATTATCTGCTCCTTCAGTTTTAAATATCTTTTTTACTGAAGAATCAGCAAAATAAGATGTTTCCACAGTGATTTATTGTTCATTATTTTTACAACCTTTTCATGAAGATAATTCATGTATTTAAAACACCTTCAAATATTTAAAAGGCATTATCAGGCAACATCATTTTAAATATATAGTGACATATTGCTAGCAGAGTTGTATGCACTTACATCACTAAAGTTCTTCCCTCTTACTTTTTTTTAAATGACACTGGTGAACTAGTGGAAGCAACTTCCCTTCTCTGTGAAGCCTATGAGTGTCAGTTGCACCTCCAATAAAAGTTCCATTGACAAATATTCGTGGTACCTGTTGGTTAAACGAAAGTTTAGATGTCACCCTGGGTGTCAGAAGTATAAAGCCATTCACAGGATCCTAATACATGCTACACTGGGGGTGCTTTTATGGGCAAAGCACCATATGAAGCTCTTTGATAATTACCTATTTAAACTTTGCAACCCTTTTCGGATGGGGCTTCCCCGGTTAGCTCAGTGGTAAAGAATCCATCTGCCAATGCAGGAGACAGGTTGAATTCCTGGGTTGGGAAAGTCCCCTGGAGAAGGCAGTGGCAACCCACTCCAGTATTCTTGCCTGGAAAATCCCGTGGACAGAGGAGCCTGGCGGGCTACAGCCCATGGGCTCATAAAGAAGTCAGACTTAGCGTCTAAACAACCTTTCAGGTAGGTACTATTTTTTAGTCTTATTTTGGAGGCACAGGAACTTGCCCAAGATCACAAAGTAAGTGACAGAACTGGGATTTAAACCCAAGACAAACACTCTCAACCCCTTTCTCCTCATTGCTTTGGCATATAAAAGGCAAAATAAAGCAATCAGCAATCTCTAATGATTAATAATGTTTAAGTGGTTCTTTCTTACCATTGTTTACTAAAGGGGAAGAGTACATTATCAACTCCTTAACAGGCACATATAAACAGGAAGGAAAATGGCAACATTATTTTTCCTTTTTGTTCCTTTGGGTTTTTTTTTTTTTTTTTGCCACACCATGCAGCATGCAGGATCTTAATTCTGCCTGGCCAGGGATCAAGCCCCCTGCAGTGGAAGCTCAGAGTCCTGACCACTAGACAACCATGGAATTTCCTCTTTTTTTTCCATAATGCATGTTATGGGAATACCCTCAGATTTCAAGAATCTAAAAACATGGAGCCCGAAAGCACTCTTATTAATACAGAAAATGAAGGACCCCTGATCTGCACTGTTCAAGTGAGGAAAGAATACTTTCATCTTGAAAAAGTCCTAGGAGGATGTCAACCATTTATAGATCACTACTCATGCCAACACCATTAGCCCACCCATTTCACACACTTACTCACAAACACCACAGTAAACATTAAAAAAAAAATAGAACTCGTTTCCTGGTCTATGAGTCTGTTCCCAAATCTGCCATTTCTTTATCAATTCAGAGTCTCAGAGTACGTCTGGCTCACTTTTCCCAACACAAGGACACAGGCCCGAGGTGACCCAGCTCACCACCCACTTCGGGGCAAAGCACCCCAGGGGCTGGACTCACAGTTCTTTCACCAGTCATTTTGTGAAGCGCGTCTTGAAACTGACTTCCGTATTCAAGCATGTCCAATTCCACCACTTTATAGTTAACATTCATGTCATGGAAAAGTTTTTTTGCCATCGTACAGTAAGAACAGGATGTTTTGGAGAAAATCACCACACAATTATTAGAAATGGTCTCCTGAAGTAAAGCCAAAACAAAACAAAACAAAAAAATCATTTTAATTCTAGACATTACCTCTCAGAAAGGAATCATGATACAGGAGATACATGATATAGTAGGAAGTGTACGGATTTTGGAGCCTCACTATTTAGGGCTCAGACTCAGCCAACGTCATCTAATTCTTATCTGTAGATTGAAGACAAAGGAACATTATTAGGGAAAAGGGATGTTATGGGTAGAAAGTGTTGGCACAGAGTAATAACACGGATAATCACAGCCAATTCATAGATAGCAGACACTTCTGTGTGCCAACACAATCCTCAACACTTTTTACCTTCACTAGTTCACTTAAACCTCACTGCAATCCTGAGATAGGTCTTTATCATCGCCTCCACTTCATACATGAAGAAACTGCGGCACAGAGGGGGGTAAATAACTTACTCCCAGTCCTCAGCTCATAAGTGGGTGAGCTGGGATTTGAACCCGTGCAAGTCTGAGTCCACAGCCGAGGTACTTAAGTATTTGAAGTGTTTAAGTATTTGAATACTTCTCAAATATTCAGAAGGTGTTCAGGAATTAACTCCTTATTTAACTGTCTTTTTAAATTTTTTTTTTAACCATCTTAACCATTCTTTCTGTTTTTATTCTGTCTGCACCACACAGCTTATGGGGTCTTAGCTCCCCAACCAAGATCAAACCCATGTCCCTGGCAGTGGAAGCCTGAAGTCCTAACCACTGGACCACTGGGGAATTCCCTTTTTTGCTTTTTTTTTTAACATTGAAATATAACTGACTTACACTATTATATTAGTTTCAGGTGTATAGCATGGTGATTTGGTCTTTTTTTATTTTTCAAAATGATCAACCCACTTCCTTAATGTTCAATGGTGAGAAATGACGTACACATGCATGCTGAGTCGCTTCAGTCACATCTGACTCTTTGCAAACCTGCCAGGCTGCTCTGTCCGTGGGATACTAGAGTGGGTTGCCATGCCCTTCTCCAGGAGATCTTCCTGACCCAGGGAACAAACCCATGTCTCTTACATTTCCTGCATTGGCAAGCAGGTTCTTTACCACTAGTGACACCTGAAGCCCCAGTGATGTATGATGTCTCTTCAAAATATAAGGCTTTCAAGGATCCAGGTATAAACAATTATTTTTCCCTTCAACTTCCACTCCTTCCTTGTGTATCTTTATAGTAAAAAACAACTGTCATCACTGTTTTGATAAGATATTCCCCAGCATTCATTGTTCCTAGAAACGCTACTTCCAGAGATGCTGACTCAGTGGGTTTGAGGCAGAGGTCAGAAACTATTTCTGAAAAACATTCCCGACAATTCTAACATCAGCCTGGAAGCTATATTAGCCTTGAAAGCTATCCTACCTGTCTTTATCATAAAGACTCCAAGGCTTCGCTGTGTATCTGTGTCACAACTTCATGGGTAAAGTTTGTTGAGCTTGTGTGTATCAATGCCCAGTTCCTTCGGGAATTTCTGAACGGACAGATCTAGCACCCGGGCATCTGCTAGGTTGTCCTAGTGCCAGTCATAAGCAGCACCTTCAAGATGAAACTCAAAAATCAGGGAGTAGGACAAAGTGGTTCAGAAGTTAAAACATCCGCCCTCGGGGGTCAGAAGGATTCTAAGTCAGTGTCTTTGTTCAGTTGTTCAATCACTAAGTCACGTTCAACTCTTTCGACCCCATGGACTGCAGCACACTATCTCCTGGAATTGGCTCAAACTTATATCCATTGAGTTGGTGATGCCATCCAACCATCTCATCCTCTGTCATCCCCTTCTCTCCTGCCCTCAATCTTTCCCAGCATCAGGGTCTTTTCTAATGAGTAGGCTCGTCACATCAGGTGGTCAAAGTATTGGAGCTTCAGCTTCAGCATCAACCCTTCCAATGAATATTCAGGGTTGATTTCCTTTAGGACTGACTGGTTGGATCTCCTCGCAGTCCAAGGGACTCTTAAGAGTCTAGGTGTCTGCAAATCTATTTTCATGCTTTCTCTTCTGCTCACTCTCAATATTTACTACACAAGTCTATCTCAGGGAGAGCTAGACAGGCCAGAGATGTACTACTGAATCCATTTTACAGATGAGAAAACTGAGGTTGAGGAGTTCACAGCACTGGGTGGGATTCCACCCACCCTGTCCCCAAACCAAAGCCAGTGCTCCTTCCTCACTGTGCTGCCTCAGCTTAGAGACACACCGAGACCGTAAATTAGAGAGGAGCACCCTGGTGGCTGACGCACAGTAAAGTGAAAGTCGTTCAGTTGCATGTGATTCTTTGAGACCCCATGGACTGTAGCCCGCCAGGCTCCACTGTCCATGGGATTCTCCAGGCAAGAATACCGGAGTGGGTGGTCATTCCCTTCTCCAAAGGATCTTCCTGACCCAGGAACTGAACCTAGGTCTCCTGCATCATAGGCAGATTCTTTACCATCTCAGCCACCAGGGAAGTCCTGACAAATAGTGACGTAGAGATTCCTCGGTGATCAATGCAAAGAAATAGAGGAAAACAATAGAATGGGAAAGACTGGAGATCTCTGCAAGAAAATTAAGAGATACCAAGGGAACATTTCATGCAAAGATGGGCACAATAAAGAACAGAAATGGTATGGACCTAACAGAAGCAGAAAACATTAAGAAGAGGTGGCAAAAATACACATAACTATACAAAAAAGATCTTCATGACCCAGATTACCATGATGGTGTGATGACCCACCTAGAGCCAGACATCCTAGCATGCGAAGTCAAGTGGGCCTTAGGAAGCATCACTACGAACAAAGCTAGTGGAGGTGATGGAATTCCAGTTGAGCTATTTCAAATCCTATAACAGGATGCTGTGAAAGTGCTGCACTCAATATGCCAACAAATTTGGAAAACTCAGCAGTGGCCACAGGACTGGAAAAGGTTACTTGTCATTCAAATCCCAAAGAAAGGCAATGCCAAAGAATGCTCAAACTACCACACAATTGCAGTCATCTCGCATGCTAGCAAAGTAATGCTCAAAATTCTCCAAGCCAGGCTTCAACAATATGTGAACCGTGAACTTCCAGATGTTCAAGCTGGATTTAGAAAAGGCAGAGGAACCAGAGATCAAATTACCAACATCTGTTGGATCATAGAAAAAGCAAAGAGTTCCAGAAAAACATCAACTTCTGCTTTATTGACTCCACCAAAGCCTTTGACTGTGTGGGTCACAACAAACTGGAAAATTCTGAAAGAGATAGGAATATCAGACCACCTGACCTGCCTCTTGAGAAATCTGTATGCAGGTCAAGAAGCAACAGTTAGAACTGGACATGGACCAAGAGACTGGTTCCAAATTGGGAGAGGAGCACATCAAGGCTGTATATTGTCACCCTGCTTATCTAACTTATATGCAGAGTACATCATGAGAAATGCTGGGCTGAATGAAGCACAAGCTGGAATCAAGATTGCCAGGAGAAATATCAATAACCTCAGATATGCAAATGACACCACCCTTATAGCAAAAAGTGAAGAACTAAAGAGCTTCTTGATGAAAGTGAAAGAGGAGAGTGAAAAAGCTGGTTTAAAGCTCAACATTCAGAAAACTAAGATCATGGCATCTGGTCTCATCACTTCATGGCAAATAGATGGGGAAACAGTGGAAATAGTGCGAGACCTTATTTTTTGGGGCTCCAAAATCACTGCAGATGGTGACTACAGCCATGAAATTAAAAGATGCTTAGTCACTGGAAGAAAAGTTATGACCAACCTAGACAGCATATTAAAAAGCAGAGACATTACTTTGCCAACAAAGGTCCATCTAGTCAAGGCTATGGTTTTTCCAGTAGTCATGTATGGACGTGAGAGTTGGACTATAAAGAAAGCTGAGTGCCGAAGAATTGATGCTTTTGAACTGTGGTGTTGGAGAAGACTCTTGAGAGTCTGCAAGGAGAGAGGCCTGCAAGGAGATCCAACCAGTCCATCCTAAAGGAAATCAGTCCTGAATATTCATTGGAAGGACTGATGCTGAAGCTGAAACTCCACTACTTTGGCCAGCTGATTCGAAGTGATTCATTTGAAAAGACCCTGATTCTAGGAAAGATTGAAGGCTGGGAAAGGGAGAAGGGGACGACAGAGAATGAGATGGTTGGATGGCATCACTGACTCAATGGACATGAGTTTGAGTAAACTCTGGGAGTTGGTGATGGACAGGGAGGTTGGCGTGCTGCAGTCCGTGGGTTCACAAAGAGTCGGACACAACTGAGCAACTGAACTGAACTGAGAGGTTCCAAACTGAGCAGAAACTCAGGATGACAGTGTCACAGTGTCCTGAACCTTCCTTCTCACCTTTTCTCAACCCTGTCCCTGCTAAAGGGTTTCATATTCTTTTCATTTGTTTGGTTTTGGCCAAATTGCGAGGTGTTAGTTCCATGACCAGAGATTGAACCTGTGCCCCCCTGCAGTGGAAGCATGGAATCTTAACCATGAGACTGCCAGGGAAGTTCCTCATGGTTTCCTATTCTTATTTTAAAAGAAGCAATCCCTCACTGCAGGTCTCCAACATTACTGTTATATTCAGCAGCTGTGAGTGAATACTTTTGTAGTCAAGTAAACCAAAGGCAGAAATGTTTGTGTGTAGTGGTGTCTGGTGGTGAGGAACAGAGAAATACATATGTCCTGTAGGCTACAAGGGTAGAAAAACACAAGAGGAATTTTCTGAGGCAGACTTAACTGGGCTTTGCAGTTCAAGCAAGAAAAAGACAAGAGAACACAGCAGCACAGTATCCTTGAGAGGATCAGTCCTACAATAACTACGGCAAACTAGATTCTGTGTTTTAGAAAAACAGCTTCCCAGGGCAGAAACAAACACTATGCCTGGCTAAGGCACCCTGACTGGTAACAACAGGAGACCTGAGGTGGGTGAGACGGAAAGAGCAGTCAACCTCATAGACCCAACTTAGAGGAGCAGAGGCACCATTAAGAATAAACCTCATAGGGACTTCACTGGCAGTTCAGTGGTTAGGATTCTGTGCTTCCACTGCAGAGGGCACACGTTCAATCCCAGATCGGGGAACTAAAATTCCACAAGCAATTTGGCACGGCCAAAAAAAGAATAAATCTCATAAATTCTAAGAAAATGATCCAGAATTTCTTTGTAACATGCATGATTTTGACAGCAGATTTAAAAATACATTAACTTAGTAATTAATTTATTAGACTGTGTCAAGTTTGGATAAGCATATTAAATATGTAAGACAATTCTATTTCCACCAAGGAAAGTTTTTTCCTACATGTCCCCATCACTCACTTGGATCTGATTCACGGGAGCAGTTGCTGCGTTTCCCAAAGATGATGATGTGCTGTTCCCCATCCTAAAATGAATTTTAAAGAACAGTGAAGTTAAACATTAAGGACAATATATCAGATGAGATCCATTCAGAGAAACCCCAATATGCAAATATATATCCAAACATATGAAAGAGAAAAGTTTTAACTTGCTATCAGTACAAAATAGCATAGTCAAAGTATTTGTTTACTAATAAAACAAAGGCCTGCGTCCTTTACTATCTAGCTTTCAGGAAAGAAAATGGAGGTTAAGGGATGAAGGCGTGGACCTAAGTAGGAGCTTTGCTGGAACAGCACATCCATCTATTTGTCTTATCAACTAAGAGAATACATCCTTTTCATTTCAGTTCCAACACTTAATTATCATTCCCAAACCACCTACTATTTGCATCTACTCTGGAAGCAGGAATTCTAGTAGATCTTTCCTAAGACCATATTTCCTTACGTACTAAGAGGAGGTGGAAGGTGTATTCTGAAACATCACTTTCCCTTGCCAAAGAAAAAAGAAAGCTGCTGGAAGGCATTTTTATCCAATTCCAGGCAAGAAAGTAAGTTGTTCAATACACGTTTCTCTTCTCCATTAATGAAGTAGCCATTAGCCATGCCACGTTTATGGAACACCTACTATGTGCTAAGCAGGCAAAGGGCTGAAATGCCGCAGGGATATTATCACTGTAAAAACACCACTGAACCTCCAAGACTTGTCAAATAGTTACACTATGTGATTGGCACCTTCTGGAGGGGGTTTCTAGTTTAGCAGAGAAGGTTAATCAGGGGCTCCTCGAGTCTTGCAAAACTGGCAGAAATTAACAGATCGAGGAGTTAGGAATAACGTCCCAGACAGAGGGATGGGTGTACAGACAGGCGAGCTGGTAGGACAGCCCCGACCGGCCGCGCGGGAGTGAGGCCGGCAAAGAGGAGGCGGTCTCGCAACGCAGGCCTGCGGGCCGCGGGTGTTCACCGACCTCGCTAGAGCCAGAGGCGACACCGTCCTATCTCGAAGACCTGGTCATTTGGTAGAAAGCGCCACTTCCACTTCCTGCCGCAGGAGCCAGATTTAGCAAACGATAATGCAGATCGCTCCGTTAAATTAGAATTTCAGATAAACAGCGAATAACTGCTTAGCCTACGTATGTTCCGTGCAATATCTGGAATATACTTAAACCAAACCATTATTCGCTGTTTATCTGAAATACCATTAGGGCATCTTGTATTTTATCTAGTAACCGAGGAGGAGGGGAGGTTCAAGCCAGCAAGATTTAGGCTTGTGCAATCTGAAGATCACGTGGTCCCGAAATCGCCAAGAGCGCTTAAGGCACCTTCTCTACGGGTCCCTTCCCGGCCTCCCGCCCTCCGAGGCGCCTCAGCGGCTCGAGCGACTAGGGGTGCACCGGGCGCCCGGGAAGAAGCCGCCCCAGCCCACCGCTAGGTCCAGACCCCCGCGAGGCCGCACAGCCACGCTCAGCCCGTGCTGCTCAAAGAGCCGCTTACCCGGAGCCCGAAATTCCCCCTGGCCCCTCAAGCCGGCCCGCTGAGCTGCTCCTGACCCGGACGAGCCGAGTCCCCACCAGCGCTGCGGGGCGCCAGTACATGGTCTTACGCGGGGCCTTAGCGAGCACATCGGCCAGCAACCGCGGCCCTGGAGATCACGACCCCGCCCGCCGGCTCCGCCCTACCCGGCTGCCCACGCCTCCGCCAGCGGCCCCGCCCTCCGGGGCCCCGCCCCCACACCAACCCGCCACGCCCCTCCCCGCCAGTGGTCCCGCCCCACCGGGATGCCCCTCCTCCAACCGCGGCCCCGCCCCGCCGGGCTGGCTTTACTCCGCCGGCCCCGCCCCGCCCGCTGACACTTCCTCCCCCCGCGGCCCCTCCTCCACGCGCCGGCCCCGCCCCGCCCATTGGCCCCTCCTCCGCCTTCGAATCCCTCCTCTTCACTTGGTTTCGCCCCCTTCTTCCCAGCCCCGCCTCTGTCTTCCGGCTCCGCCTCGCCAGCGGCCCTGCCCCTTTAGCCTGTCCCGCCTCCACCCGCCGATCCCGCTTCCTCACCGGGTTCCCTCCCCTTCTTCCCAGCCCCGCCTCTGTCTTCCGGCCCCGCCTCTGCCTTGCCCCCGAAGAGCCCGCCTCCGCCCGCCGGCCCGGCCCCCTCTAGCCGGTCACGCCCCCTCCGGGCTGCCCTTGAGGCGCCGGTCTCTTCTACGCGGCCCCGGGGTCTGTCTCCTCCAGGCAGCCCGAGCGCTGGGTCTCGGCGAGTCCCGCCCACTAGGGGGTCTCTGTCCGAGTCTCGGTTGATGCCTCACCTGCTGGTGTCCAGGGTTCATCCAGGTCCCGCTCCTATGCTTTTTCGGATCGAGAACGCTCATAAAGGCTTACAGACACGTGCAGGCACTGCCTGGACACTGTGGCCAAACTTCTGACGAAACGGAAAACAAAAACAATGAGTGTCCGACACGGAGTCAAAAGGCCTGGGATGTTTACAGAGGATGGTAGCGTCAGCGCAACTTCCTGTCGGACTGGTCTTTGTGTTGATGAAATCAGAGCCTAAAGATGTCATCTCAAAATTAGGCCATTGATTGAGAACTCCTATAAATCAGGGATTTTAGAAGAAAGTGATCCAATGTAGAACGTGCATTCCAAATGAAACAAAATTGTATTTTGAACATAAAATTAAAAAATAAAATTTAAAGTAACCCACGAGTGTTCACTCTGGCTTTGAGAGCTGTTAATGACAGGATTGTGTCATTGAGTCAGGTTAATAATAGCCCTTTGTGCATAGCTAGGTAAAAAAGAGGTGTGTCGTCCTTTATTTACTGACATTGAAATCTATTTAAGGTCAAAGGTCAAATACTGTGTCTAAAATTCTAGGAAATTGCTAGAACAATCCAGACCTTTTTTAATGGTTCTTTCTCATTAGCTAAATTTAAGATTCATGCTATCAAGTTTCAGAATGAGAACTTCTATTTCTAATAGTTCTTTTCCTACTTTCAAGTGGACCATGTTTCATTACTTCATAAAAGGATGAAGATTTATTGCAAAATCAAATATCCCAAAAGATGTAAAAGTGCTTCTTTATAAATCCAAAATTAACTTTAAAAATAAAGATATGTATCTACAATGTCGCAGCATATTGTCTGTGTGTGTGTGTGTGTGCGTGTGTGTTTAATCAAACGACAGCTAGCTATTCAGGAAATTTACTATACGGTTTTTTGTTTTGATGTAGAATTTTACCTTATTGTCTTAAACTGTGTATTGTGAGGTGAAACAGTTATGTCACAATTTGATTTTAATATAGTATAGATGGCCTAGATTAAGGACAAAACTATCTGGACAGATTTTTTTTTAAAGGGAGTCCCTAATGAGAGTTGTTGCTGTTCAGTCGCTCACTCCTGTCTACTCTTTGCAACCCCCTGGACTGCAGCACACCACTTCCCTGTCTTTCACTATCTCCCGGAGTTTGCCAAAACTCAAGTCCATTGAGTTGGTGATGCCATCCAACCATCTCATCCTCTATCATCCCCTTCTCCTCCTGCCTTCAATCTTTCCCAACATCAGGGTCTTTTCTAATGAGCTGGCTCTTCACATCAGGTGGCCAAAGTATTGGAGTTTCAGCTTCAGCATCAGTCCTACCAATGAACACCTAGGACTGAACTCCTTTAGGATGGACTGGTTGGATCTCCTCGCAGTCCAAGGGACTCTCAAGAGTCTTCTCCAACACCGCAGTTCAAAAGCATCAATTCTTCGGCCATCAGCCTTCTTCATAGTCCAAATCTCACATTCATATATGACCACTGGAAAAACCATAGCTTTGACTAGACAGACCTTTCTTGGCAAAGTAATGTCTCTGCTTTTTAATATGCTTTCAAGGTTTGTCATAGCTTTTCTTCAAGGAGCAAGTGTCTTTTAATTTCATGGCTACAGTGACCACCTGCAGTGATTTTGGAACCCAAGAAATAAAGTCTGTCACTACTTCCATTGTTTCCCCACCTATTTGCCGTGATGGAACTGGATGCCAGATCTTAGTTTTTTTAATTAACTTATTTATTTTAATTGGAGGCTTTTACTTTACAATATTGTAGTGGTTATGCCATACATTGACATGAATCAGCCACAGGTGTACATGTGTCCCCTATTCAGAAACCCCCTCCCACCTCCCTTCCCATCCCATCCCTCTAGGTTGTCCCAGTGCTCCAGCTTTGAGTGCCCTGTTTCATGCATCGAACTTGAACTGGTCATCTATTTCACATATGGCAGTATACGTTTCAATACTATTTTCTCAAATCACCCCACCCTTGACTTCTCCCACAGAGTCCAAAAGGCTGTTCTTTATATCTGTGTCTCTTTTGCTATCTCTTGTAGAGGGTCATCATTACCATCTTTCTAAATTCCATATATATATATATATATATATATATATATATATATATATATATATATATGTATGTATGTATGTGTGTGTGTGTGTGTTAATATACTGTATTGGCATTTTTCTTTCTGACTTACTTCACTCTGTATAATAGGCTCTAGTTTCATCCACCTCATTAGAACTGATTCAAATGCATTCCTTTTAATAGCTGAGTATTATTCCATTGTGTATATGTATCACAAATTTCTTATCCATTCATAAGCTGATGGACATCTATATTGCTTCCATGTCCTGGCTATTGTAAACAGTGCTGCGATGAACATTGGGGTACACAAGTCTCTTTCCATTCTGGTTTTCTCAGTGTGTATGCCCAGCAGTGGGATTACTGGGTCATGTGGCAGTTCCATTTCCAGTTTCTTAAGGAATCTCCACACTGTTCTCCATAGTGGCTGTACTAGTTTGCATTCCCACCAACAGTGTAAGAGCATTTCCTTTTCTCCACATCCAATCCAGCATTTATTGTTTGTAGACTTTTTGATGGCAGTCATTCTGACCGGCATGAGATGGTACCTCATTGTGGTTTCAATTTGCATTTCTCTGATAATGAGTGACGTTTATCATCTTCTCATGTGTTTGTTAGCCATCTGTATGCCTTCTTTGGAGAAAAGTCTGTTTAGTTCTTTGGCCCATTTTTTTTAATTGGGTCATTTATTTCTCTGGTATTGAGTTCATTCAAATCCTAAAGAAAGGCAATGCCAAAGAATGCTCAAACTACCACACAATTGCACTCATCTCACATGCTAGCAAAGTAAGGCTCAAAATTCTCCAAGCCAGGCTTTAACAGTAGGTGAACTGTGAACTTCCTGATGTTCAAGCTGGATTTAGAAAAGGCAGAGGAACCAGAGATCAAATTGCCAACATTGGTTGGATGATTGAAAAAGCAAGAGACTTCCAGAAAAACATCTACTTCTGCTTTGTTGACTATGCCAAAGCCTTGATTGTGTGGATCACCACAAACTGTGGAAAACTCTTCAAGAGATGGGAATACCAGACCACTTGACCTGCTTCCTGAGAAATCTGTATGCAGGTCAAGAAGCAACAGTTAGAACTGAACATGGAACAACAGACTGGTTCCAAATTGGGAAAGGAGTACATCAAGGCTGTATTTTGTCACCCTGCTTATTTAACTTATACGCAGAGTACATCATGAGAAATGCTGGGCTGGACGAAGCACAAGCTGGAATCAAGATTGCCTCAGATATGCAGATGACACCACCCTTTTGGCAGAAACTGAAGAACTAAAGAGCCTCTTGATGAAAGTGAAAGAGGAGAGTGAAAAAGTTGGCTTAAAGCTCAACATTCAGAAAACTAAGATCATGGCATCCGGTCCCATCATTTCATGGCAAATAGATGGGAAACAATGCAAACAGTGTGAGACCTTATTTTGGGGGGCTCCAAAATCACAGCGGATGGTGACTGCAGCCATAAAATTAAAAGATGCTTGCGCCTTCGAAGAAAAGCTATGACCAACCTAGATGGCATATTAAAAATTAGAGACGTTACTTTGCCAACAAAGGTCCATCTACTCAAAGCTATGGTTTTTCCAGTGGTCATGTATGGATGTGAGAGTTGGACTAAAAGCAAGCTGAGTGCCAAAGAGTTGATGCTCTTGAACTGTGGAGTTGGAGAAGACTCTTGAGAGTCCCTTGGACTGCAAGGAGATCAAACCAGTCAATCCTAAAGGAAATCAGTCCTGAATATCATTGGAAGGAATGATGCTGAAGCTGAAGCTCCAATACATTGGCCACCTGATGCGAAGAATTGACTCATTTGAAAAGACCCTGATGCAGGGAAAGATTGAAGGCAGGAGACAGGGACGACAGAGGATAAGATGGTTAAATGGCATCACCGACACTATGGACATGAGTTTGAGTAAGCTCCAGGAGTTGGTGATGGACAGAGAGGCCTATCGTGCTCCAGTCCAAGGTGTCACAAGAGATGGACACGACTGAGTGACTGAACTGAATTGAACTCTGAGTAGCTACAGAAGTGGTGTTTTGGAGGCAAAATTGTGATGTCTACAATGGCATAAGAAGAAATATGCCAGCCTATTTACATGTAAGCTGTGGCTATAAGAGAGGATGGCCGGTATAGGTAGATCAAGAATACATTGTTAATTACAACCTGTGAGTATGAGTGCTAAGTAGCTTCAGTCATGTCCAACTCTTTGCA